TCAACGAGCTTCTGCTGCTCCTCACCCTTCTCCCACTTGGCGAGTGCGTTCTGGCGCCATTCCAAGGACGGGTCAAGGTCCTCATACCATGTCGATTCATTGAATGGACACTTCTCCAGCGCGGGGCATGCAACCAGGTGAGCGTACTCGGGCATGAGGCCAGTAGGAGTGGACTGGTAAGCCCACACACAGCCGTCAGTCAGCTTCTTAGCCTTGTCGATGTCGCCGTCACGTCCAAAGATCTTGCCACCCAGCCCGTACATGCCACCGATGAAGCATGTAAGATGTGTCATTTCATATGACTTGGACCATTCGCTGTCGCCCTTCTTGGAAGTGGTCATCTTTCCGGTGAAGAAGACGTCCCAGCCATCCTCCTTGACCATAGGGCGGTAGAGCAGCCACTCATTGATCGCATCAATGGTATCCTCATAGAGCTTGCGGTACTTTGGCTCAAGGCCATTCAGGAGAAGATATTGCTATCTCAAGTCAGCTTATGTTTGTTACATCATGAACATGCCACTTACCTTGGCGAAATACTCGTAAGCCGAGTCCTGAGCACCTCCCATGTGAAATTGGCCATATGCATAGGACCCAGGAACAAGACCTTGAGGCTCGCACTCCCAAGTCACCGAAGACCCGTCAGCAGCCAGAGGCGGCGGCTGGTTAGCAACAGGCTTGGACTCTTCCGGCTCCTCCACCTTGTATGGCTCACCAAGAGCAGGAGGCGGAGGGGGCACATCACGGCGACGCAGCTTATCCTCCCAGCGGCTATCCGCCTGAGGCAGTTGTGCGGGGGTTACTGCATCAGCCGGCTGGTTGTCACCACCAGGGATGAAGCCTTGAGGTTGCTTGGTCAGATCGGCACCTTCAACCTGCCCCTGGGCTTCATTACTGAGTGTCTGCTTTTGAGTAGTTGCTGTCTTGTTGCATCCCGAGGCATTGATCTTCTCAGGGAAAAGACCCGGAATCTCGGTACCGTCCTCCTGCATCTGGACGAGGGCATTGGTAATGCGGGCAACGGCATCATAGTACTTGGCCTCACCCGTGAGTTGGGCGAGACGTGTAAACTCCATCGAGAGTGATGCAAGCTCTGCAATGCTGACGACGCTGGCGCGATGAGGCTGAGACGAGTAAGGAGCACGCCACCGGTAATAGAGAAGAGGCATGCGGTTGGGTGTGTCAAAGGCGCCCATGAGAATCTCTGCAAGCTCAACGGCCTTGTCGAGCAAGATCTTGTATTTACCGTTAGGGCCGCCACTGAAATCGTAGGCGCCGATAAGACCTCCAAGGTAGCGAATTGTAGTCTCGAAAACAGGGATATCGTTGCGATCGGTGTAAGTGAAGTCAATCTTGGCAACAGCATTGGCTGCCTCATCAAACTCTTCCTTCATATCGGCGATCCAGAGGGTATCGAGCGAGTCAACGAGAGTTGCACCCCAGCCGCCAAAGGTCTCGCGCCACTTCATGGACAGAGGCAAAAGCTCGTCATGCATGAAGGCATACTTGCGATAACCGGCCCAAGCCCGTACCAGCTCCGCCTTAACACGCTGCCTTCGCTCGAGACGGATCTTCCTGGTTCCTTCATCCTCGAACTGGAAGTCAAACTGGATCCTGTTCATATCGGGGGCCGTGCCAGTCGGGATAGGGATGATGGATTCGGCGGGGAGAGGGAAGTTCTCCTTGGGCTTGGTCCAGTGAATCTTGGAACCATCAACGTGAACATGAGGCTGGTCTGGGTTATCGGCTGTAACAGGCGGGTCCTTGAACTGCACGGGGGGTATCTCAGGAGCGGTCTGTTCCTCGGGCTTCTTGATTCCTTCGGCGTTTTCTTGTGCAGGCTTCTCGGCATCGGGAACGGTCTTTTCAGCTTCGGGAAGAGAGTTGCCAGCAGCCTCGACCTTTTCGTTGATAGCCTCAATGCTCTCGGGAAGAGTCTTGTCCTCGCCAGTCTCAACCTTTTCAGGTAGATTGCTGTCTCCCTGAGGGACGGCGGGCCTCGGGATAGAATCGGAGTCCTTGCCCTCTGAGTTTGGCAGCTCTACCACCGGCGGTACAACGGCGGGCTCGAAAGCTTCTTTAGAGCCTTCAACCGGCGGTGGCTGAGCGACTGGAGGTTGTACCGGAGACTGTTGGATCGCATTGTATTCGGCCGATCGTGCCCATGAGTTCTGGAGGAATCGGTATAGGATGAAAACCAGAAAGATGGAGATTATGGTGTAGAAGCGACCACGTCGACGTAGCGGAAGCATTGCGGCGGATCGCGGCTCGCCGAGGCGAGGCTTTTCGAAGCTTATGTCGACGTGGGAGATGAGAGTCGAGATGGAGTGTCTCGAGATCAGAGAAGGGGTTCGTTCGTTGGTCGGGAAGTTCGTGTATTACACTGGGAGCAGCATGCCGTAGTCAACGTTATAGGTCCTCAATACGCTTCCCCCCTGTACTATAAGCAAGCAAAGATGCAACAAGACAGAGACTAGGTAGACATCAAAAGAATGATGACAGAAAGAGGCTAAAGCGAAGATGAAGGAACCCAACGGCGCAAGGGACACAGAGAGGGAGAGTGGTCGCGTTCTGCTGCAGGACAGAACGGTTAAGTCAGATCCATTCTAGAGCCAACGAGGGAAGGCAGTTGATTCTTGGCAAAGAGGGACGTCTTTTTGCAAGCGCTGGTTGGTTGAGTGGCCCGGAGCAGCCCCCTATTCCTGCGCTAACATTAGCATCCTCTAGCAGGGGCTTCCCGTGCCTGGGACGTTTAGGGGGGGTCGCAGATGGATCAGCAACGTTTTTGCAGCAAGCCCGGACAAACGCTAACCAAGCAAAAGGATAAATTTAGAGGTGGTATTCCGTTGTTATGGTTATTTGAGAGGAATGAGGTTGCAGCCAGGTACGGACGGATAATTGAGAAGTATTTGATCCGGTTATGATAAGTTAGGTACTTCCAAGTAGCACACGTGCACAGGACTCGAGCGCCTTGTTACACCAAGGAACACCAGAGGTCAATGTGTTGACCAAACAGCAAACAATGCTGTGGATAAACGGGCCTTTTGTGTTTCTGTTTCGTCTAGGTACTCTATAGTCTATTCACAACTGCCCCGGCTCCATATAATCGTCAACAAACGCATCATGTTCCTGTAGACGCGCAACCTCTCCACTCTCAAGTGCTGGAGTCCCCTATTCCCGACGTCGACTTGGACCTCTCTCTCCACTCGCTGCCAACAATCCAGGGGTTCTAAATCTCTGGTCCTGGAACCATGCCTAAACGGGCATTCCGACCATCGAGCTTGTGCCTCTTTGTCGACGCCATTGCCGCGCAACTCTTGGCACGTGCCTCTGTTGAAGATGCTTCTGAAGACTCTGGATCAACGCTGTGCCGGTAAACCGAGACAGTTGTCGACCTCCTCGTGAGGCTTGAGAGGCTGAGATATAAGAGCCTTTGCAATCCATCGAATAATTATCTGCCGCAAGGAGAGAATGCTGCCATCTGATCTTGGCCAATGAATAAAGTCATCCCACAACAGGCGCAAATGTCTAAGACGCAACTCCCTCCGCCAAGCCCCAAATACAGCTACTTCGGGCCATGTTATTCCATTCAGGCATGCCCTTTAGCCCAAGTCATGACAACTACATACATCCCATGCAACAAGCCCCCAGTTGAGATACGCGGAGCACTCCTCTCCGTTGCTGCTCCACCGCCAGCAACATAGCTCTGTACTAGTGGACCTCGGATCTCAACAACAACAGCCTAAATCATCTCCCCTGTGGCTTAGTTGGCTAAAGCGTCCGACTGTTATTACCAGACAATCGGGAGATCGGAAGTTCGAGCCTTCCCGGGGGAGCTATTCAGCTCAGATTCAATTTTTGCTGATGGACACTATTTTTGGTGTTGTGCCTTAAGCCCCCAGACGCTGCCCACCACCACCAGAACTTAGGACTAGGCAGTCGGCAAGTCTAAACTTTTGCCCTAGTCTGGTACAGTTGGGCATTAGTTACGCCGTAGCTTGGTCAATCTGGATATGGATCCATGTCGCCTAAGCTGTTGGTGTGCGTTCGTTCATCTGGGTGTGTTGGGCACCTACCCTGTAATGAAACAGAGTCCTGTTATAACTCGATTATCGACCCATGGGACAAATGAGTCAATCGTGTAATACTTGAGTTTCCATGGCCTAAAACTACGCGAGGTTTGTGTTGATACTTGGCAAGACAAGTGATATACCGCAGGGTTGAAATGACATGAGGAAGGGGAAGTTCGATAGGGGAGAAACCAGACAAGACACTACCTACATGACAAATATGTGACAAAGATATGAGATGAACGGAAGCAAACAACTCTAACATGATATTCGAAATTAGACTAGCTTCATTCAATTCAACTCAACGGGATATCAGTGTCAGGCTGGCTCGGTGAATACTTAGCTGCAGCAAGACTCTAAGCCCGAATGTCTCCATGTAGACCGAGACTCACCTAGGAGCATTGGGGATAAATTTCCGGCATATATGAGAGGCAAGTAGCTGCTATGTGTTATTAAGTGTGTCCTTTGATATTTTGCACGACCGCGTGCCACTGAAAAATATTATTAAGAGAGGCAAATCAACTATTTCTCGTGTGACAATGAGATTGACTCAGGCATTGAGTAAGACGGGGTGCTGATGAACTGTCTTGGTGGCGCCTCGGTGAGAAGTCAAGTTTCAACGGCAACAGAACTTTTCGTTTGCGGCCTGATGCCGTTCAAACACAGACTAAATATCCTTGGTTTGCTCCAAACTCGTTTGTTGGTAGCTCAATCAATTAATTGCCCAGCTTGGTTGACGTAGCTTGTCTGTCCAGCTCCGAAACCTAGCGCGACAAGCAACCAGTCTTGCAAGGCCTGTTATTTTCAACGATGGCAAGTACGATGAGTGGCTCCTGCAAAAGAACGATTGGGAGCCACGTCGTTGTTCATAGAAATGGGTACGAAAACACCACAGGCAAAAAGATATCAGCAGTGAGAACTGCAAAAAATCAACTCCCCGAGGTGGGCTCGAACCACCAACCTCCTGATTAACAGTCAGACGCGCTAGCCAATTGCGCCATCGGGGAGAGGCTTTATCTGTTGTTGAATGGTGGTGTGTTACCAGGGGCTATCTTTGGTTGACGTGGGAGTGTGGGGAGACAAGGGGGATCTGACCGCAACTCACACATCCAGTGTGAAACTTTCTGCTGTGGATTATGCACTGTTCAAGGCATAAAATCATTTTCATAAATCTCGAGTTGTTCGGTGAGTTGGTAAAGTCTAACTTTGTTACGCCCAACATCGTGATTGGGCTTGATCAGACCTGAATAGTGCCGGATAGTTCTGTTTTAGTCCGATCAACTCATACGAGGTCGCTGAACCATTTTGCGTGTCTGCGAATGAGAGCTAAGATGTTTCGTTACGGTCATGGTTAAGATTCGCTCTGTTAACCAAATTCAGAGGATCCCCGGATTTGCAAAAAAAGAGCGGAGCTGGAAATTGTAACGTTTCTCTGCATGCCAAGCTAAGAAACAATCGCTTGGGAGATCATGGAGATAGCTGTAATTAGAGAGACGTACCAAAACAGCTGGAAAAAGGAGAGAGATAAAGGCATCATGTTACTGTTTGATTTGCGTATATCATGATAAAAGATTATCCACTCATTCGGGCCCGCCTCTGCTCTGGCTGGCTGAGACTTCGCAAAAGCTGAGCTGAGCTGAGTACTAAAATGGTGACATGGAGACGCTACGGAAATAACCCCCTGCGAGAGAGCCACCCCAGTCTTTACTTTCGATCCGAAAGGATTGCCGAATTGCGTGGCCCAGGAGAATCTGGTGGTCTTTAATGTCACCCTGTAGTTAGCACACAGATATCATGTCACTTTCTTTTTCCGAGTTGTTCCTCTTTTCCGTCCTTATCAATCTTGTCGCCCCAATTCCGGTAACGCTGTCGTCCTCTTGAAGTCAGCTTGAGCCATGGCAACTTCGAGTCCTCAGGAGCAGAGCGTTGCAGTTATTGGCCTTGGTGCGTACAGATCGCCGTCTTTGTCTAACCCCCGCTGATTTTTGAGTTCTCGCTTCACAGGGGCCATGGGGATCGTCGCTGTCAAGAATCTGCTAGAGGAAGGGTTCAACGTCACTGGCTTCGACCGCAATGGCTATGTTGGAGGATTATGGCACTTTACTGAGGATGAAAACACTTTGAGTGTGCTTGAATGTAAGTTTTTTCACCCAATTGAAAGTTGTGGTAGAGGTTCTGAAGGTTTCTAGCAACTGTTGTAAACGTCTCTATCGCTCGGGTCAGTAACGCCGTCTGTCTCATCGTAACCCAAGTAAAAATCTGACAATATCCAGGGTTGCTATACAGATTTTCCTTTTAAAAGGGGTATGTATTACCTTGAATGTACATGTAAGACTCCCTTGCGCTGACGTTTCTAGGAACACCCCCCTTCTGTGCTGCAAAACAGGTCAACGAATACCTCGAGAATTATGTCGACCATTTCGACCTACGACCTCATCTGCGACTGAACACAGTAGTTAAGCACGTCGCAAGAGAAGAAGAACCTAACAGATGGCGATTGGACTTTGAACGTGCGCCCTCAGAATACTACGATAAAGTTGTCATCGCCACAGGGCCACATCTGAACCCTGTAATGCCTAATATCTATGGATCGAGCTTGTTCGCTGGAATGATTATTCACTCAAAATCATTCAAGAGGTAAGCGAATATTCAACAATTTGCAGTATTGCAAAACCTCAATGTCTAATGGCTTGTAGGCCTGAAGCATTCACTGGCAAGAAAGTTGTTGTCCTGGGACTTGGCAACACAGGGAGTGATATCGCTGACACACTAATCGGGTATGCTTCGAGCATATGCATTTCCCATAATAATGGTGCCCTTGTCGTAAGTTCTCTACTCATTCATTGCTCCGGCTCTCCTCTTACCTACTGCCAAGCTTCCCCGTGACATCGACAAGGTCACCGGATCCAAAGGCCTCACTCATCGATTCTCTGTCATTCTCGGCTTTCTAGAGAGATGGTGTCCATCCCTGGCTGAAATTCTGTTCAACCGAAAGGCCAGGTCCATCATGAGCAAAGCCTTTGGTGATGTCGACCCAGCGTGGAGATTAGACCCGGCACCCTCCGTCAAAGTGACAAACCCGGTAGTCTCGGACACTTTGATCAGCAGACTACGGGCTGGAGATATCAAAACGATTCCTGGTATTAAGAAGGTTACGGGCCCAAAGGAGTTGGAGCTCACAGACGGGCAAGTGGTGGAAGCCGACGCCATCATTTGCTGCACAGGATACAAGTACGGCTTCGACATTCTGGACACCCAAGTAGACCCCTCCGACAAGCCGTCCATAGCCTGGCTCAAGGCATGGGGATCCAAGGATCGCCCCTTGCCGCGTCTGTACCAGAATGTCTTTTCTCTCAAGAAACCAGACTCTCTGGCGTTCCTTGGTTGCACTTGGTTTATTACCAGCGCATTCTGTCTGGCTGACTTGACGAGCATGTGTGTTGCCCAAGTTTGGGCCGGACGCTCCAAGCTACCGCCGCAACCTGAAATGAATCGCTGGATGGACCAACAAGAACAGCGTATCAGCAGACTCGCGCAACGAGGGACCGTTATCCCAGCATCAGTACCTGCCCGTGAATGGCTAGTGTGGGCTGACCGAACAGCTGGTATGGGTGTGGAAGAGCATCTTGGGTGGGGATGGAAGGGATGGCTGTTTTGGTGGAGGGAAAGGCCTCTCTGGAAGATGCTCATGGACGGGCCGCAGACAGCAGCTGCGTGGAGACTCTTTGATGGAAAGAGGAAGAAGTGGGATGGAGCAAGGGTTGAAATTGAGAGGGCGAACGAAGTCAATGAGTGTGACAAGGGGAAACAAACATGACGTGTACGGTTGTCACTTGTTGTATGAGGTAGCATAGCATCGAATTTGGCCTAATTTAGTATTTTGAAGCTTGATTGCCTTGGCTAAGCAATCAGCTATTTTCCATCATTGTGGTGTCGCTATCTGATTGAGACATTGTGATTTGATCCGATCAGTTGCGAGGGTCCATCTGCTATTGGCTTTGCTTCTGCCTGATGAATTGTTTTCAGCCCTAGTAGCCCACCAAATCCATACCGACATCATAGTAACGAATTCTCGTAGCCCCTACCGTAACTCAGGAATTGGCAGAGTTGAAAATCGAGGCATGGGTCTCGTCGACCTCAAACTTCGTATTCGCCAAACCACCATAGGCTACATCTTCACGACGTGATCTCAACCAATGAGATCACAGAATTGGCTTAATCCCCTGTGGCTTAGTTGGCTAAAGCGTCCGACTGTTACTTGCAGACAATCGGGAGATCGGAAGTTCGAGCCTTCCCGGGGGAGCACATATGCTCAGATCATCTTTTTGCATGGCGATGCGGTGTGTTCCTTGCCCCCTAACATGAGGTTCTCGTTCGTGGTGTTATCCACGACTGTTAATCAAGGCACACAATGTTTGGGTGTTGGGTGGATTTGGTGGACATTCTTTTTGTGCCCTCTGCTTGGTGTGGATGCCATCACGCCCCACTGGGTCATGGTGAGCGCTGAAGGAGAACAGCCAAAGGTGAAATTCAGTTAGTTCAGTTAAGTTATAGCTTCGAGTCACTTAAATAACTTGAATTGACCTGTCATGACTGAAAATGGCTTCATGGTAAGAGTGAGACTGGAACATGGTCACATTGGTGTTCACGGGATGACACTATAGTCCAGGGACGGTCTCGAAAACTTGCACAAGATATCAATAATAACCTAGAAATGGGAAAGAAATTGACTAAATATTGACCCTCTATAACAAAATGCGGGCTTAACTTTTACAGTGTGTATTGCTGACCGTGTCATTAATCCTTTGTGTGCTCACTCTCGAGGCTTTACGACGACGAACCCTTGAGAGGAGGTCATGAGAAACCCACCCACTTAAAAGAGTTACTGCAAAGCTCCTACACAAATGGGCACTGGAATCGATATTGTAATGACACTGCCTGGATTAAGCTCTCAGTTTGCACGCGCCTGTTCAACTGTGACTGCCTAAAGCCTACACGAAGTCCTAGGCATGTGAATCATCTCTTTGTTTACTTAAAGTCTGAAAGGGGTCAATGAAACCGATGTATTCACTCAAGTTTATAACTGTTTGCTTTTCGTTTGACACCACACCTCAACCTGTTATCTGCAGGTCAACCCTAGAAACAACCACGGCATATCCTCACCGGAACTACTTATACGACTACACCATTTGGAGTATTTGAACCAGGCATTATCACTTGCTCTCTCACATTGCACCCAGAGCATTTCTTGATAATAAAATTGAGGATCATGATCCTGTTTGTGAGGCCCGAATGTTCCACTCATGCCTGGGTGCCATCAGATCGAGGGACCTTCGACACCCTCTTCTCCCGAGATTCGTTTTGATCACAGTTCTAGAAATTCCTTTCGACAATGGCCCAAGTACATCGCCCACACCGAAGCAACAAAGTTCCTAGACCACTCACTGGGCAGTTCCGCCATTCGCAACACAAGCCACTATGGGATGTGCACCATTCGCCGCGATCGAGAATTTGAGCTTGGTGAGCATCGGTTATCGAGAACCCATGTGGCTATCTCTAGGCATTTTGTTACGCCTTGAGGTTCGAAAGAGCCAAGTCGGCCACTCTAGGACAATCAGCCCGCTGGCAGGGTATCGGAAGAGCTTGATGAGACATGTTAAGATGCACGATGACATCAACTGTTGCTTAGACATGTCGAGCTTAGACGAGCTGGAATGATGGGCTTGGGACTTTCTTTTCAAAAGTTTCATACCGCTATTAATAACTCGGGAGCATTAAAGTTCTAGCGAAGGATCAACAGGCTTCTTCCTCGCACGATATTTCTAGAAAAGATCGGCATCAACTCAAAACATCAAAAAGACCCTGACACGCGGGTTAAGAAAAAAACGAGACACTAACACAAATATATTAGCTTATTACTCTCTAAATATGAATAAAAGAATATAGTAGGAATAGATAAAAGTTCTTTAAAATCTTCCTTATTTTATTATATTTAATATAAATTTAC